CTACGTCTCAAGATTTGAAACAAAAATAACTATGGCATGATGACAAACATGCTTTAAACCACAAGCGCCAACACCAATAAACACAATAGTATGAGTCCCAAAGTCGCCTTTCTCTTAATGGTTACTTTACTTTCCACTTAAACCCTTTGGAATCACTTTTTCATTGCAATACACTCTCGTACGGTCGAAAAGACGTATCTAAGTTGAATAGCCGCTTGTGAGCTGCCTTTGTCGATAGACTGACATAAGGCTACCCAGATTATGGTGCCACTTAGCTTAAACAACTTTCAAACACTCGCGCATCGGTTTGCAATAAAAGCATCACTGAGACATCTGTTTCCTTCCCAATATTCTATTTTTTTATTTAATCCACTCCGTTCTGACGCGAATTTTTTCTACTTAGTAGGTTAGAGCAGCTAGCGGCTGGTACACATTCACATGTCCCGCATGTTCCTAGGGAATTAACTAAATAGGACGAATAATGAGGATACACTTGGATGTGAACTCACTATTCCAGTGCTCTTCAAACAACAGATCTTACTGTCGTCTTAAGTGGGTCCAGTTGTGTCTAATTGATCGGACAATCATGTTCCTACGGAGTTGGTCTTCCGAACCACAACACTTCAAAAAGTATGCCCTTTACGTTGCATCTTTTATTTGGGTTAGTCGGGCAACGGGTCGCGACACAGTTGAACTCGAACATTACTCAGCTAGTGCACCAAATAAAGTGCAGATGTATTGTTCTCCGAGCTAGGCAACTGTGGCGTATGAGTCATCAACTCCAATCCGTCTCACACCCTGCATTGACCATGTGCGTGTGTCGTCTATCGTCAGTGGCTTGACCGATCCTCTGTGCACCTTCTGGCCAGCATACAAGTTTACGTACTGCCAGCTGGTTGTGTTCTGTTGTCGTTGCGTCGTTCAGCTACAAGCCGTTACTGCGTTCGCAGGCTAGCGTTACTTCCGCACGTGTGGACTTTAACAGAAACATCATCAGCACAACTTCCAAGAATGTGACTTATCATTGCTCCTATCTTACCTTGATCCCCCGTCAGATTTCACTTCTAGGCATCCACATCTTTCATCGGCCGGCTACGCTGGGCAGTCAGGTGTTGGGTTGACTGATCAGTCTTTTTATCTTGCTGACCTGAGGTGGATTACTGACCTGATTTGCAGTGCTTCTTATACTGCCTATTGTTCCAACTGTTTACCATTCGAATTCTACTCCTAGTCACGGGTCTATGTAAGCGTCGATATGTATGCTTCGCTTAAACTTCGCATTTTCCCAATTGTTGACAGCGTGAGGTACCATGGGAGGATATAAAATAGACTACTCACTTCGTGGAGGTTTGGTGACATTACACGTCTGAGCTGAGCTTGTTGCCCATAACCGTTATTCCCTATCACTATCTTTTAGTACAAGGTAACATCGACTTCTCATTACTTTTCCATGAGGTGGATTTTGAGACCGAACTTATCTGAATACTGTATTGCGGGAGCAAGTAGAAATTTGAATCTGTACAACTCCATACAAATATGATGGAAAACGTTTAAAAAAAACTATGACTTGTCAATACGCTGATCGTTTTTCACGTTCTCACCTTATACCGTTAAAGATCGTTTAACTCACAGTAGATTAGGTCTTAAAAATGCGAGATGCCTGCGGGTCATCATCATCATACACGTTAGCTAGAGGTCGGGAACACCTCAGCTACTGTGCCGCAAAATCCAAATGGAAGCCGATGAACTGGAATGGACCGCTTGCTTGGACATGGGCCTGTTGACAGTGCAGGAATGACGCTCTGCGTTCACCTGTGAGTTGAAACTAAAAGACAAACGACTATTGAAGCAAGGTGGGTGAGGGTCAAGAATTGGGGGGTTGAAAATAGGGGGGATAAAATTGAAGCTGGAACGGGACGATAACGGTGAAAAAGCGCAAGAAGGGGAATAAGAAGACGGGAAGGCTTGAGCAGTAGCATCCAAACCCCTATCCACCCTGCTCGATGCAGCAGATGAGGCACCGTTGATTATCCTCTACGGTGGCCAGAGCATCAGAAATTTGCTTGAGGAAAGATTCATTGTATTGCGTGGGCAGGATACTGTCAGGTTGCCCAGGCCTAGACAGGAGAACCATTAGGGTTCTCAACCAAAGCCTTTGGTTCAAAAACCTGACCGCAAGGCAGCGGGTTTGGCACTGGACTACAAGGAGTCCGTTTTAAGGAATAAGGAGCCCACCCTCATTCCAACCCCCAAGCTGGAGGACCAGGAGGCTGAGTTTGTCTGGCCTCTAACCATTGACCAATCTGGTATGAGTGGCTCTGAAGGTGCAAAAGCACCACCCAGTATAGCTCAGTGGATCACTGAGGCACACAAACCATCGCACCACGGTAAGGTCCAGCCTCATTGCGATGCCTGCGGGTACTCTTTCACGGAATCTAATATTTGAGCAATGCACATCCAATGATCGTTTGAATAACTGCACTTAGTTAGCTTCCACTATATGTTCCGGCAAACCGTTCCAGACATTTACCACTCGCCGTTCCAAGCACAAGGGATGGGGAACTAGCTTCATATCTGGAAACACAAGCTTGTATTTGTGTCCGCATGTGTTGCAAGGCGTTCGCAAGTGGAGCAATGACCCCAGCATGGGAAGTCGCCTACATGTAGAATCCGGTAGGTTCTGATGAGATCGACACGTAACCGACGGTATGCCAGTCTCTCGCATCTGTCCTCATACGGTAAGCCTCCCAAACTGGGGATGAGCCTAGTAGCGATGTGTTGAACCCGTTCAGTCTTCCGCGCCTCGCCGCGAGTGGTTGGGCAATGGGCGGGCGAGCCGTACTCTAGCATTGATCTGATAATGGAGGAGAAGAGGCGACTGGCAACCGCTTCAGACCAGATGCAGAAACTACGTTTGAGCGCCCAGAGCGTGCGCAGTCCGTTACGATATAGCCTGTTCGTGTTGTCAACGGACTTCAAGTCGCAACGTGGGAGTACTCCTAGGTACTTCACAGAAGGTGTAGCAATTGGTCGTCGAGAGCTCGGCCGTCACTACCCACCTCCAGGCTCATGAATACCGAATTGGATTTGTTGACTAGGAAGCGGACTTCTGCAGAGCACACGGAAAGACGGTTTAGATTTTATTGTAGTAAGCCGCAGTCGTCGGGTGTGCTTATCACTCTCCATATCTTCAGGTAGTCTGCAAACTGGGTACACAGTGACCGAAGAAGCTGAGGTAGGTCGTTGATATAAATCAGGAACAGTGTTGACCCCAGCACCGTGCCTTGGAGTACGCCACTGGTTGAAGGATACCAATCGCAATTAGTAGCTTGTCTGATATCAACCTTCGTAGCTGGATAGATCACAGGAGCATGCAAAGTATCGTGAAACGTGATGATGATTTCTCGTCGCTGGTGTTCCATCCTGCTTCTGTTATCCGTTGCTGCAATGTATGGGGGCATACCCACCCTGCGGGGAGGGTCGAGTTGTTCAAGGCAGTCGCAGCCGGTTTGTGCTTAATATCATACCAAACGCTTCTCGCTCATATTCTTTTCACTGACCCACAAGTCTACTATGATAATTATCACATAGACTCCAATCTCACTTAGAGCAAGCAGTGGAATAGAGCCTTCTTTGCTGAATTACGCCGCACAACTTGCTGTAATACTAACTCCTTCAGGGCCAACCAGCTTATTAGCGAAAACCAAGCAACATCAAAGTACAACATAATTCGTTCTCACAACACTTTGTAGATTATCCAACCAGCACCGTTACTAACAGCTCAGTTCCACCAGTAGTGTTTCCTTTTTACTCCAGTCAAACAACACTGCAGCCGCCATCCAATCAGAAAGTTTGGTGCGGCCAATCACCGAGGTCGTTGAGCTCACATTTGATCGGTTACCTCATATGTTTCGCTAATATGCCAGATGCATCCGATACGCCGCTCCCATCACTCCGCTGACCTCATTTCCGGTCACGTAATGGCCATTCACTTGGATTCTGGTCGAAGAAGCACTGCGTCTCCAACGCATTTAACGGTCTGCCTTATTTATCCGCTTGTTTCGTGGCAGTGCCAGGATATTTGTTATTGTGATGGCTTATTTCAAAATTTTTGAAATGCCATCAGATGAGCGGGAACAGTCCCCTGCTTTTTGTAGTGATTGTTTTAATATGCTGTCATTTGTTTCACGTCTAAACGAAAATGCTTCCCAATCTCTCAATACTTTTCACATCAATTATCCACAGTTTACCTGTACTCCTTTCTTCCCAGCGTTATTGCACAAGAAGGCACTTGGATTTGAATTGTTCAACCGGTATGAATTACATAATAATTTTATATAGAGCGTAGCCAGTCACTGGATCACATAACCACCGTGGCTCCTGTCCACAATTTTGGTTGCGAAATGCACAGCGCTGACGTCGATGGCTATCTGCTTAGGTTTAGACGTGCTGAATTCGGACGTTGTAATACACATTCGTCCATGCAGGAGAGCTTCACTTGCTTATTCCACTACCCCCTTTGTTTATGCCTCCTTTCTTAGACCGCTGATGGGTACGTAGAAGTGGTTCACTGTCTTTAAAGCACATATTCTTCTATCTTCGTACCTAACTACTGCAACATAAGCGATAGAAATAGCATTATTATCAACGGCTCACCGGTTTATATTGGTGATTGCTTACCGTGTCGTCCGAATGGCACCTTCCGTGTGTTTCACAGGTGAATGTTTCTTCTACGCTCACGCTTTCACTGCACATGTTTTCATGTTCTGTCTTCAGTTTTACCCTAAGTTTAGTAGCTTGTGTTCTGCGCCATGACGCATCGGCCTCACTTGTGCAGGCGCTTCGGGATACATTCCACAAATAACCGAGTATGGACTAAAATCCACTACCCCACACTCTCATTACCAATATGAATTCCTCATATTGGATACTTTCTCCTTTACACTGTTCGACTTCGCGCTTCAAGTGTGTTCGTTTGCTTCTTACTTCACTGATCACAGGTTCCAACCTACAAATTCGCCGTTCTGGAGTTTGTGACAAATCTGCTGAACACAAAATACTCCGAATTGAACGCATTTGCACGTTCCATCTCTTCTCTCAATGAAACTGGCAATTTTACCCCTTCCCAAAAGGAATACGTTCTTCAGGCTGAACGGATCATCGAAAAATATCGTCATCACCTACCCGCACTGGATCTTGAAAACCCCACCCGAGTGGTTAAGAAGATTGCAAAAGTTACAGACGGTAAGACGATGCGTCGCGTATATGTTTCCAAGTAAAACCCTTTGGATGAGCGCATATATTTCTTTGTTAAAAATACATATAGAAATGAACATTTACTCTCCCCCATGCAAGACCCACTTATTTACGCGTGATCCTGAAGGCACATTCATGTACAGAAACTTGACCAGATAGTGATCAGATAAGTCTGAAAACTGTTCAGGTAATAACTGAACACGAGTAGTACACGAAGCGTATGGTATGAGTTTCTCTTCCTCGGCAGAACAAACTACGCATTTGTATGGCATGATCACATGTTTCACAAGCACATACGAATGCATCGGTTGCATGTTTCGAGTTAACTACATAGATCTAGGATAAAGTAACAAGCGAATCGCAAGTTGCGCTCTTGTTTGGCTATGCTACTTTTGTGCGATCACATCCAGATCTTTGACGAAAATGTAGAGCTATTACAGGTGTACTGAGTGTCTCCGATACAATGTTTCGTGCATCAAAACTCATCGAATTTACTTGACCCAATTTAAACTGAACGAGAGAAGTGGAATTTTCCAACGTTGGGGTGACAAGCGAGGCATACACATTTGCACCGCTCTCAATCATTAACTCTGTGCGGCGTTTATGCACGCGTTTTCCGTCCGTTAGACTCTTGACTTGCGTGCCACTTAGCCCACTCGTGATCGAAAGGATCACTAGCCTGCCTCGTAATCCGGTGGTCACGGATTTGAACCTGCGGAGTAGTCCGAGTGACCTTCGCAGTATCCTTATCCCAAGCGTGACTTTTGGTGGTTGCCTGGAAGCGAAGCGCCTTTGCCATTTACTGACTTACTGCTGATGCCACTTTTGCCCTACTACCTGACTTATTTCCGGTCTCCACGCACCATCACTCCGTCGAGCCGTCTGTTGGTTTGGTTAGACAATGCGTTGCTTCTTATCTTCCATTTTTTCCACATTATCTCCGGGGTACCAGCGTAATTCCTTACTCACTGTTTTTGGTGGTACTCTCCGGCCATTGTTGCTTTGCGCTAGACGCTTTAGTGACGTAGCTAACGGTGTCAAGTGTTCACGAAACTGGTTGCACGCAAAACGGCCTCTAGGTACGCAGCCATAGTAATCACGTGACAATATTTTCCGAAGCCGGTTAATGAAAGCCTTCGTAGCCATCCCTCCACTGATCAACAGTTTAGCAACCTATCAGGTTGTATATGTGATTCAGATTTGTACTAACGCGGTCATATTCATTCGTCTGAACATGGCGCCACTCCAAGGACTAGGTTGTTCTGTCTATTCATCCTGGGGTATTGCGACTTTCCCTCATCTCGCGTGGTAAATAAGGAATTTTTCTCTCCAAGTTGAGTAAACGTCCATTGAACTAGTCTCTCAGAAGGTGGACAGTAGAGTTGAATTCCGGCATCTTGCAGGTCTCTCAAAAGAAGCTCACGGTTTACACTGCCGAAGGCATTATTGTAATCGAGAAACCGCATGCATACATATTTGACCCTGTTATCTGATGATGACAGAACTGAATGTACAAGATAAGCTGATGCATCTTGGGTAGACGTCAAACTACGATAAGCAAACTGTCGGGTTATGTGAGTCTAATTCAGCAACTTTTCGGGAATAATCTCGCATATCTTCAAGTTTACCCAGTTGTAGGCAATTGGTCGGTATTTATCTGAGCCTTTCTTTGGCACCGGTGTAATTCTGGCACTTCTCCAGCAGTCAGTAATAGTACACTGTTTTATGCACAACGTGTATAGGTCAGCAAGAAGCCGGGTCAGGGAATCGGCGCACACTTTGAGGATAACGGGTGATAGTCCGTCTGAACCACTTGCTTTGTTGGAGCTTAGCTGTAGTAGTTTATTGCGTACTGTATTTCTGTTAGTGGCAGGTAAGGAGGTTGTGGGCCGATCCAATCGTGGGGAAGAAGAGTGAGAGGTGTAGTTAGCACTGAAGCAACAGAAGTTTCGGTTCAGTTCTTCCATGTCTTCATCTGAATTTGACACTCGGTTAGAGATTACACTAAGTTGTTTCAGCATACGCCAGACATCCCGGCAGCTACTATTTCCCAGTATGGTCTGGACATATAGGTGGTTTAGATGGCGCAACTCAGTTTTGATAGAAATAGTAAAAGATTCCACGGCACCGTGGTCTTTCGTTTCGAATGCTTTTTCTTTGAGTCTACTCAAGCGTTTTAGGTATAGAGATAAAAACCGATTCGCACGGATGACAGCAGGTAATAAAGCAGAAGTTGATATAGCTCGTTAACTGCCTGCCGTATTTAGATACGTCATTATCAAAATATATCTTAAAATCTGTGAATGAAATCATTTCCTGGAGTCGATATATGTTCTCAGGTGAACATTGTCTTCTTCGAAGCCTGCGGTCTTAACAAAGAGTAATATCGTTGAACGACTCCCCAGTGACTTATCCGTGCACTTACATATCACTCTGTCATTTTGTCTGGACGACGCATCCGGGTTTCTCACTCCACGCTACTCGCTAGCCAAACACCGTTTTGGCATAAAATGATCGCTGTATCAATAGCTGTCTCTCTTCACTAACTTTCCACACACTAAGTCTGCCATCACTTTCCCGCAATGTCAATCACCAGTTAACTGCCGATTACTCTACTAACATATACTTAAAGCCAATATTTGCTGTTTCTTTGCTTCCTTTATTTTTTCCACAAGACGCCTTTGATATTGCTCTTTTAACAGGCGCTAACGAGCCCATCGATGGCCGTGAAGCTCGACATCGACCGATTACATTGGAAGTACAGACGATTGATGGCCGATCGTTGGTCTCAGAGAGTCGCGGAAACTTATCTACCTCCGCAACATCGACGAAGGTATATCTTTGGGCTTTCACTCACATACCTTCCTCGGTTATTTTATGATTCCATCTGTACTGTCCTTATGCGGTTTGGACGCCGCTTGATCCAACTTATTCAATCAAGTAGTATGCTGCTGGATCACAACTAGACGCGTTTGACGTTTTCGTTAACTTGCTTTTCATCCGTTTTGTTACAACACCAAATCTTAGTCGGAGATAGGTTTCTCTGGAATAAGCCACTGTCATCACAATCAGTACGATCGTACCCAGCTTGGGATCATCTTCAATGGTAGTTGTCCTAAATATTGTCGTCCAATCCAAAACTTGGCTTGTGGAATGGATTTGAGATATCTCTAACGAATCTTTTAAAGTGCATAAACAAAGTTATCAAAGATTTGTGTTTAAAACCACATGGTTTAGAATCGCTACTCCAGTAACAATGCATTGGACCTCAAACAATGACAAAATCAGAGACACTGTCGGACACGATTAACCGCGGAGATATACTTACACTACTTGTGAGAATTCCGGTACATTTCTCAATTTTACTCAATGAACAGCCGTCTTATTTGCTGTTCTCCGAACTTTGCCTTGTTGCTTTTCATTAAATCTTTAGTGTCCGAAGCTGGTCGCGTAGATTCTGTGCAGCTATCTTACGTCTTCCGAATTCGTTTACTAAAAGAAAACTTACAACACAGTTGCCCACACTTTTCTCTATCTATGTCCAGCTCGAGGGCGTAGTCAGTAAACCGCTTTCAACTGAACTGCTGTCGCTGAATAGCCTGTCTGATAATGCAACAGATGTACCATTCTAGCAGAGACCATCCCAGAAGTAGTTTCCTGTGACTCACGTCCACTATCGACGTGCTCTGACTTCTCTGCGGCTTGGTATACTCATCTGGAGCTTGCGCCACGTGGGGGTTTTGTTCCTCCACACATCCGTTACACATCAGAGTACTGCATAGTCGTGTCGCATTCGTGACACTTTCCTCACGATCTCCACATTAGGAACGAATTCCACCGATGTAGTGTTCAGAACTGAATTGTACTTTCATCTTATGCGGCACAACTCAAAATCACTTATCCTAAGCCCTCTTTGACACTGTCCCTCCGTTAATTTGTTTCATGATTTTTAGCTTATACCCATTGCGAAAATTTTCTTTCCGCTGCATCTCCTCAGACGTGTTAGTCGAAACGCATCAGATTTTCCCAGCTTGGCTTTCGTTTGATAGGTCACATTTTCCCGGAAAGACCGAACACTCGTGCGTGATTCGTCAGACACAACACACGATGACCGGTTTAAAATCGCTATGATTGACCAGTGCATTTAAAATCCTCTGACTGGATTAAGGTGGTGGTGGCCTTACATGAGTGCACTCTATTTACACGGTTCGACCCGCCATCGTCTGATTGTTGTGAGTTTGGCATTGATCAGCGGGCACTACATCAGTTCTTCTGTACTAGATAAGCCACTTTAAATGAGTGTATAGTGTGCATTTGATATCCAGAGTTGATCGAATGCTCGTGAATGATATTGTGCACTTTTTGACTTTATCACTGGCGTGGATGTATTAGTTCCTCGTATCGAGTCGGAATTGTGTTCATAGGAGGTTGTGTAATGAACTCGGTAGTTTCGGCAAGGATATGGATCCTTGTGTTGAGTTGCATTTGGCTCACTGCGTTTGATATAGACCTGTTAAACATTTGGCGAGTGTACAGTCCCACATGGTCAGCTTTAGACATCAAACACACACTAATGATTTAAAGTATCTATTATGTACACATAATAACAAGTTAGCGCCCTACAGGTTGCACTTAGTGGAAGGTCAGCGAGCCCGAGGCAGGATCAGTTATGAGTGAAGTCAGTAACAGGAGTACGTTCGGAACGCATCAAGCAGGCCATCGTGAAGTATTCACATAATGATGATAATACTACTGCTAATAATAATACGCATATATTTAATATCCGATGAACTGTCTGTAGCGGCACGGGTCAATATGTACGAAAGTAACCACGGTCTTTCATGGGCGATATGCATATCTGCATAATTGGGGCTTTCGATTCATGTAATAGCATTTTGGTGAACGGTTGGGACGAAAGCTAAGGTTTGGAAACATGAGTGCGTAGGTGTTTTTGGACCACATGTGAATATGGTGGTTATTTTATTCAGGTCGTGGTAACTTGAGAGCTTGTTGCCACCTTGTCACATGGCTTGAGTGTGATTGGCAGCTTGTTCCGCAGATAGGTATATCTGACCAGGGAGAAATTTGAACGAATACTTATTCTAGTCTTTGGTATAAAATAATAATAATAATAATAATAATAAATGTGTCAGCTATACGCCGTAACTGCGCTTCGCTGCTGCGCCACCACCACCAGTCGCGCGCGGGCAGAGTATACCGCGAGGACGCCTATCCCTACGCGGATTCGAACCGGTGACCTTATGGTTGCAAGGCAAACGTGCAGACCATTCGGCCACCGGCCGACAGTCTTTGGTATAATCAGTGTATAACCTTTTTGTGTGAAGCTCTCGAGTTGAGTCATGTCGCAGTTCAAATGTAAGCGGATCGGAATAGGTCTGTTGTGTATCAGTAGCAGCAACAACTTACACCTCAATCGTCGCACCCAAAGTGCTTTGTTGCACCGCTCCTAATAATTCATGGCATAGTGCATACGAAATAGATGCTTAGTTAACGACCTCCGCAGGTGTTCCAGAGCAATTCCGTCTCTCTTTCTCATATTACCATATTTTATGCCATGGTACTCAAGAATGGGGTGAGTGAATAGCTTGAAAAGCTTCACTCTAGCATGGATTATATGGATTTTGTTGAGCACCGATTGTCTAACACACATGCTACTTGATATTGGGCTTTTTTGGAGAAGTTGGATGAGTACCTATTTCCGAGATTGCGCGTGGATAGCGGTAAAGGGGCATGTACATTCTTCAGTGTAATAAATCCTTCCTGGTCTAGACATTAGAGGTCGGAACTGTATAAACAGTCCTGTCAGCTAGCCTCTTGCACACTGACATGCTGTGGCGAAGTTAAACTGCTCGCCGCTTGCTGCTGCATCCCAGTCAACTCAAGCAAACCTTACCTACCCGGATGGCTGTCATTTCAGTGTTTTACGCTACTGGCTGCAGATGAACTAAGACGACATCATTAAACATGCAAAATTTCGCAAATGGGAAAGCAAAATGAGTAAATTTGCACAGATGGTATTCGAGCAGACAATCACATCGTTGAGTAGCAATCGCTCATTGCCGAGGAGACTTGTCAAAACTTTTATTCCGTTGACTCGTCAATGTTTTACTAAAGCGTTTCTTGACAATTTGTTTCATATTTTCTAAATTAACAAATTAAGAAATGTACGCAGTATCTCGACACATTTTTTCAATGTCTCGACAGCATAACATGACTTTGGAAATAACTTGGTGAAGGAATTCGTCAGAGTGATATTTTGCAAATGTGATGTACCGACTCGAAACGATATACCAGCGAAAACACCAATGACCGGTTTGAAAGTCTTGCCACTGCTATTCATTGTTCCTGGCGAACGGAACCCATTCAGTGTATGTCAAGCTAAAAATTGCCCATAGCTCCAACGAGTGCGTGACTGTAAGGAAATTTCTTCCCCCTCGGAATTTTACTGTGGCATACTTGATTCCACTGTTTGTCTGTTCAGTAAACTGCTCTAAGCTGCACCATCCATTAATTTATTGTTAGGATGTTGCTTTAAACATGACGCTCACCATCAAATCAGTTTTCCCTTTACCTTTCTCTTCATCTTCCGCAACGTTAAATTTACCGTCTCACACTGTCCACATGTAGTGTAATGGCTTGCTTGTTGTTCTGTCAACTGCACTGCTGGGGTTCGACTTGTGGGTACGCCAAATTCTGTTGACCGGTTACCGGAAGGAATCCACGCTTGGCTTGCAACCCTTAGGGTTACCAGTTCGAATCTGCATAAAGGTGGGCGTCCACGTGGTGTACTCAGCCCACGCGCGACCGGTGATGCTCGCGTGACAGCGAAGCTTCGGTACATTGTGCCGGCGTATTACATTATTTATTTATTTATTTATTTACATTTGGTCATCGCAAACGCTTTTAGCGCTCGCCAACGTTACACTTACTACTGTTATTTTAGTTTATGTCGCTCAATTGACCGGTTGGCCATCTAATTCTTGACAATCTCATACGCTGACCATCCAGCCTGTTCTTTGTACTCATATCCGATCATCTCCCCCAGTTATTCAGCGGTTGTCTACAACTTAGATTGATGACTGCTGCATACTTCCCAACTTCAAAGCTCGACTCATCCAAATCTTAACACGATAACTGCGAATATGGCAGTCCCATTCGTTATTCAGTCCTCTCTCTTAACCAGCTTTCTCTCCAACAGTGTCCATTTATGTTGTACTTTTTATGGGCCGCTTGCTACCACAAAAATCAGATCTAAAATATTCCCTTTATAGCTCCCAATAATAATAGCGTAAGTTGTGAGATGACCCAATCAATCTTTATTGAGCTGCCGCTAAACAAGACTGCATCATGAAAGCCACCTTGGCACGAATAAGCGCCTCATCAAAAACGGCATACCGCGTGCAGATGTCTCCACTATCTTTACCTGTGGGCTCTGTTGTAATACTAACAACGAAGTAATGCATGCCCCATTGCACATACAAATCCACACAAAAGTTTGGTTTAGGACACTATCCCAACTCCGAGTCTCCGAATTGCCTAAAACCTGCGCATGAGATCATCTAGGTGCAGAGCTACCTGGGTGATTGCAAAGCGTTTAGTGAGAGCAAGTTGTTTTTTATGAGCGTATTACCGTTAGGACGTAGAACGGCTCGTCTGAGAGGAGGGTCTTCCGGTTGCCGGTATACGCACTTTTCCAACTTGGTGTTTTTGAAGTGCAAGTGAAACTTAGTTCATTGCATCTATTATCGTAACAGGAACATTTGCAGCTCGGCGACACTAAAGGCGAGATTCCTTAAGACGCTGATTTCAAAAAGTTGCTCTGTCTTGTTCATCGGAAATCACGCCATTGCTCGTGATTACCTTCAGTTTGTCGTAATTGTTTCAAAAAACGGCGTGTTTCTCTTTGATGTCTCTTTTGATTTCAAGGATGTAGGGGAGATTTGAGTGGGTAGGATTTCATCACATCCTTACTTAGGTTGCCATCACACACCAGAAAAAGCGCTGCACAGTTGTTTTATCTTTTCGGTAATCATCAGCAATGCGCTTTCCATCTGGCCGCTGTGGGGCTTGAACCCGCAGCTCGTCTGTTCCAAGATTTGATATGGCGCCGCTCACTATTCATTAACTTGCACGTTGCTACCGTACAGTACGCAGACCACATTGCTTTAATTGGCGGTGTTTGTTTGGTAAGCTCTCCGCTTACTGTGAGGGCTACCAAGTCCTCAGCACCGTGGTTACGCGCAAGTCAGTGGGCAGTGAGCGGCATCATATCGCGTCTTCTAACAGTCACGTCGGTCATCACCGTTCTCCACCACAGACTGGTAACAGTCGCGTTACGGACCTAAACCTCGCGGGGGGGGGGGGGCAGATGAAACGCGCACTGCTGTCGATTTCCGGAATTTGATGAACTTCCACTTTTACTTTTTGGAACAGGGCACTTACTGCAGCAGTAGCCAGCATCATCTACCCGTCTGTACTTTTTTGCTGTAACCATTCCGTTTATTGCTAAATGCGTCAAACATGATACCGGTCAAGTCTGAATAGGATAATATACATCATCTTATTTACATTTGGGGTATAACAACCCAGACATATAGCGACTTGTCTGCCAATACGGACAGCTGAAATCTGTTCTGACTCATAGTTGAATGGTGTGATCAGAAACATCAACGGCTCCATCTTGGAACATCGAATTCAAAGGGGATGCCGAATTCTGATAATTGACAACTTTTTGCCCTACTCAAGAGAAGACAGTCGAAGCTATCGCGTTTGGGCTAACGCAACAGAAGCTATGCAAACATAGTGTGTTTGTGCACCTCCTCACCTTGCCATTGCGTTAACGAGATTTCCTTCACATGGAGCACTATTGATGACTGAATGTGGTCTCCCTCATTTCTCCGATTGTCCCTAATAGACTTCGAACATTGGCCCGTGACCACTGTCGTGACGCTTGCCACCTGAGTAGATTGTCAAACGAATGTGGCACGCCCGTTCAAACCGTCTTAACTATACGCATTTAAGCCTTAATGTTTTCTCAATCAGTCTTGTGCATGTTGTTGGCTGATGTGAATTATCGTAACGATATCTCTTTTCCAATCCAAATGACATCATTGTTTCTGTTTGAGCACGGAAGTCGCAATGTGCACAACGAATAGTTGATATTGGTTGTGCGCGCATCGTAACAGTGCAGGCACACCGATTGGCCACTCATCAGTTCCATGTGACCTTGCGTTTAGAAGAAAACTTTGGTTTCATGTTTTGGTTGAATAGGTTGCATGAAATCATTGGATCATTGTGCCACTTTACATCTTTGCTAATCGTATTTTTGACTGGCAGATTACTGGGCGTCACTCGTTTTATTACTTTATTCCTACATCGGTTATAACCCCCAATAAAGATACGATGCCAATCTTTCGTTCCATGTTTTTGTCCATTTGCTCCCTGGTGATTCACTACCATTTTCCATTCCGTCAGACAAATGCAAACTCTACGCGTTATATGTCACACCGACCAACTGGATCCGCTTCATCCAGCTCTGTCGTGGCTATCGTATTGAGTTTGTTACTTTGCGTGGGAATTGCGATATTTGCTGTTTACGCCTGTCATTTCCGTCTTCGACGTATGCGCCTCCGACGAGCGGGTTATTCGCCGACTGTCATTGAAGTTCCAGAAGTTTACAATGATCGTTCACTACTTCGTACTCGTTCGGTTGTTGGATCAATTAGTGATGATCCGGAATTACTTTCACATTGGCAGCTAAATGGATACGAAAACCCAGCTTACAAATTCCCGAATAACATTGTTCGTTTTCCGCACCCCTCATGAGCGTAGTTACCCCCTTTCCTGCTTTTCGCATTTAGAACCCAGCTGCGCATTTCTTTCAATCTTAATCACTTTCATGTGCAATCCGTTTTGCCTTCCAACGATCGCCTTCCCTATACCTCATAACAATTGTGAGTGGCGTCTTTTATGCACTCACTAATTTTATATTCTGTCCATTTTTACGGCCCTATGAATAGTATTTCTGCGTTCATGGCATTCAACCTAACCATTTTTATATCCGCTGCATAATGCTAGTGCTTTCCAAGACTAGTTCAACGATTTCTTGCACGCTGAAATACACTGCTCGTTACTTTCGAAGTTTTGAATCTTCTGTGCCCTCTTTTATCTGGCAACTTGGGCGCACTATTTAGTTCGGCTTCTAATCTTTATGAAAGATCCACTCGAGACGGTGACTGCAAGTTCACTACTAGCTGCGTTGTATACTGCGCTTTAGGCGCGTTAACGTCAGCGCACGATTCGTCGATGTTCGATTGTACACCACGACCTTTCTTTGCGAAACTACTTTTATCAGTGCAGTTTTGGGACCCATTTTAACATGCAATGGACTCCTTCTTAAGTATTTTTACGACGCTTCGGACGCTGTGTCTCATAACTCGAGAAAGAAACGAGCGTTGTACTATTGTATTGTATATGGATATTTTACAGCATTTCACGTGCACCTCTGGTATCTTCAGCCAAATTGATCGTGTCCCGGTTGACACTCCTGCCATACTGCACAATAGGTTCCACTAAACAAATACAATCTTATTGGAGATCTTACGTCTGTAATGTATAGCTTGCGGAAAGAAGCGAAGAAAGACATAAGCAGTATGCCGGTACGCAATACTGACGCTTCGCTGCCGCGCAACCAACACCCGTCGCATGTGGGGTAAGGATACTGCGATGGTCGCCCTGCCCCTGCGCAGCCTTGAACCCTCGCCGTCAGATTACATGACAAGCTTGTTACCATGGGGCTACATATCCGAAAGAATATCTTACAGCAATAGTTAGACCAGTCTCGCTTTCCATCCAAGTCGCATCGCATTAACCTTCCGGCAACTGACCACAGTGTTGTAGCTGATATTTGTTCTCACATGACATTCTGCACAAAACATCACCATTATAGTGTACACCGGTTCTGTCCTACCCGTCCGGCATTTACGGCGTACTGCCGGCTGACCATACCCGCTTTTATCTTCCTTTTTCTGTAAATATTCTTTAGTGGCTTTCAACAGAGCAACCGAGCAGATTATGCCACAGGCCTTTCGGCGCTTACTGAACGTATTGTGCTACAGCAGCTGTGAGCGCAAGTCTAGCCGGCCTGTGCATAGGCCTTCGGGAAAAAATTCAGCACAAATCCCACGCACAGCGGCGCCATGTGTTTAGGATGCTCTGCCAGCAACAGCTCCAGCATGTCCCACGAAGTTGAACGTCGACAGATTTCCCCACCGCGCAGCACCATTAACCTACAACTTTAAAGGAGTCACTTCTGTTTATTCTTCTGCCCCCCTCGAGTCCCAAACCGCATTGCATTTCGACATCTTTCCATGCACCCTCCGTTGAATTCTGGTCATCTTTTCTCTGGGTTTTTTGGCTTCCCCATCACAACCAGGTACAAACGTGATAACCCCAACCGTCATGCGCATCTTAGCTCGTCTTATCTCTGAGCTCGTTCCCCGCTCTTTACTATCGTTGCTTTCTAAATGCATATATTAATTATGTTCACCTTATATTATTCTGCTGACTCGATTCCGTTAGCAGTTTGTTCTGCCTTTCCAGTATACACTGTGAACTGAGGCATCCCCGCCCCTTTTATATCGATTCTTGTCTGAACCGGACATTAACTCGATAATCCTAGCCTCAATGTGGTGTTTCATTTGTAGCCAACCGTAACCATTGGCGCCCCACTTTTGCTGTCCACTGCTTCAATCACACGAGCCACAGCGGAGTATTGGCCAGTCCGACAAAACGGGACACCTCGCAATATTCGTTTTCCACTGGAGATATTAACTTGACCGTTGACCTCCTCATCATATCTATTTAGACGTGCATCGCTTCGTTGATTTACTTATATTCAACTCCACTCAGGAAGTAATCATACCTTTCCATTAATGTGGTCCTTCCTGCGTCGCTTTTCCATTCACTCCATGTGCTGCCTAAATGCATTTCACCTCTGCTTATCCTTCCATTTTGGCTAATTTATCACAGCCGGTGAATCCGAGTGAAATTGGCATGCAACACAGGTGTTACTGTCAGTTTCAATAAATCACGCCTAAAACACAATTTTCCGAAATTTGTGCACGTAAATATATTCATTCGGTGTTTTTTCTTCACAAACGTGTCGATGGGATGTTTCGTTGCGACCCCATGAACTATTAGGTTAGTTGGTGCTAGTGATGATTAATGCCCTTCACCAATATCCAGACGTTAAGCGCAAGTTTTCTACCAGCTTCGCTGTTCAGGTGCGCGTGGCAAATACTGCGCACTGACACACATGCGTTCGGTCTCGCGGTCTCTTGCACCCCATCCCTCTTAGCCTCCCCCTCCAACCACGATCTCATTATTTAACCTTATATAATTTTGCATAGTAATCTTTTTGATGCACAGTAGCCGGTTGGTAGCTTACCGGAACAGGTTGTCCTCCCACCATTGCACACAGCGCATGGAAGTCTTTGGAGCCAAATAAAAGTTAGATAACCTAGTGCGGCTGAGATAAGACGTAGTGGTGGTCAAATTTTTCCGGATGTCCAGTCGGCCAGTGCGACAGCAGCTTCTCGGTCTCTGGTTAGCTTTCGTGCCAGTAAAAAGGAATCTGGAGAGGCGAGTGTTTTACTAGTACAAGCGGTTGATTAAGAGGATCTGGATTTTATGATGCCTGTCTACTAGTGTTGCCAATAGCGCTTGGCACATGCATAACAGATAAATCTAGGCACATGGGGCCAAGGGAGGATAAGTGGAGTGCAAAATGTATGCTTTGTGGGCCTGTAACGTATGCAAAGATCTCTTCATCGAGAATATGTAAGGTATACATATTGTTTTGCGTGAAGCATGCCGATTGTAGTTGGAAACGGAGTGGTAAAGTAGCAAGTATGCAGGCTTAAGGAAAATGCACCAATTAAGGACAAATAACAATCGACATCTACCAGTTACATATAAATACATCTGGACGTGGTATTTAGACGTTTTGGACCATTCCAATGCTAACCTTATTTGTATCAACAGCAAAAATAGATTTCAACATCTTACACAAGGCTTAGGTCTGATAGGCTGCCTTTCCGAGGCGTACTTAAAAGATCATATACCTAATACTTTTAACACTGACCCACTTGTCTAAGAATTTGAAAAATGAGTAAAGGTAAAGCTGAAAACAAGTAATGCGGGTATAGATATTATGTAAGGATTGAAATTTGCTTGCTCGGATGACTTCGTTTTTGCCCTGCAATATTCTATATGAGGAATACCTACGGAGTTGCGAACCTGACAATAAGTACGCTAGGCCGTACTGTTTGTTGAAATTTTATAACATTTACGACGTGACCATTGCAGAATAGAAGCCAGAGGGTTGTAGCTACCGGTTAGTCCATGCATCCTTTAGACCATCGTAACGGTGAAGGAATGGATGCAATCCAGGAACTAATCAGTAATGGCTAAACACATTTTGCGTTCAGAATTCTACTCGTAGCATCTGTCAGACGCGCGACTTATCCGACTGAGGCCGCCCGGGTGTTGTGATTGCGGTAATAGGTAAGATGAAACCTAAGGAGTCATTGATGTGGACAATTAACGGGGTAAGGCTACCGACTATCTCTTGCAGGATGGTGTTGTGGTTGCGTTTACTCTTCCCATAGTGCATTCATAAGATGGAATCGTCCGTAAGGGCACTCAAGCGGGTCAAGAAGCGCTCGTTGAAGCCCAAGGTCATCTTGTACTCGGATTTATATTCGCCTACTACCTAAAAATGGGTGCAATGGATACAGCTAAAGTCTCAGGCGTTAAGGCGGTCAGGAAAATGAATGCGGATGACGTGCGTGCTCAAGGTGCTTAGTTGTCATGCATTACATCGTGGGCTTCCTCAAGCTATGGCAGGGCCAGTTTCGTAGAAGTGGTCTTGCGAATCGGAGATACTAAAGAGGTGTTGTGTAACGTCAACACATAAGAAATCTTTATATCTGCTTTCTGAATGCCTGCAATGTTTGGAGTTCTCTTAGCCTGGAAGGCAACCTGTTCCACATGTTTATGTATACAACTAAGAAGCAATTAGATCGCAGTCTCTTCTTTTGCCCTAAGCGGGATATGGAATGGCCCTTGTGTTGGAGTTGAGATCCGATGGCGATCCTTAGTTTAAGACAACTGCTAATACTATGCAGTTTTTTATGAATTAGCTTACGTAAGAAGCACAAGTTACGAATAAGGCGCCTCCTCCCAAAGTGCTGAATTTTACGGTGTTCACACCATTGTCGATAACTCAGCCCTTGCTGTGATAGAGTCAGCATATGAACAATGAATTTATACGGGTTAAGAAGCGTTGCTTTACAAGCCCCGTTGGATAGTTGGTGGGGATATCAACATAATAATTATGATGAAAAGGATAGTAAAATAGTTAACACTTTAAATACGAAAATAAGGACTTATCGTTTGCTTCATTGCAGTCCTGCGATCCACTTAGATTCACAACACCCACAGTTAACAACAAATAATTCCAGGGTAAACTCCTGGTGTAGGATGGAGACATAGTGTTAAGTAACAAAGTGTAAGTGGGTGAGTGCATCGTCCAACCGTCTTTTAAATATTGTTAGTGTCGGTGCAGAAACGACCGATTCTGGGAGAGCATTCCACGGGTGACAGACGCGGATGGAAAAGAAATTTCTGCGGCACTCCAGACGACTGTATTGTTCTGCGAGTTTTAATGAGTGGCCCCTCAGGTTTGTATTGCTGCTCAGTTGCAGTAAAGGGCGGCACACATGATGTGGGTCTCGCAGAATCAAGTATGTCATAATCAGGTCGCCTCGTAGCCCGCGATAGCTTCCACTGAACAATCCTAGTCGTCGCAGCCTCTCCTGGTAGGACAGATTGCGCATTCCAGTTACGTTCTTAGATGCCCGGCGTTGAGGCTGCTCCAGTGCATTAAGGTCGTGTTTCAGCCATGGATGCCAGGCTTGAATTGCGTATTCCACATGGGGGCGAACATACGCACTGAGCATTTGTCGAAATATGGAGCTGTTTATTTGTCCAAACGCCCGCCTCAACAGCCCAACGTGTTGGTTCCCGGTCTTCGAGGCCTTTTCGGATTGCCTGGAGCAACCCAAGTCATCTTGAACCAGGACACCCAAGTCACGTTCGAGAGTTGATTGTTGCAGTACATCCGTGCCGAGTCGGTATAAGTAGCTGCCG